TGGGCTCCCTTATGTTTTTGCATACAAGCTTGCCTGTAAAGTCTAATGGAACACAAAGGTTTCAGACAACAAATTAATGATTGTGACTGAAGCATATTGAAGTCCTGATCATCCCTCTCCTGTAAACAAGAAGTTCTTGAATTAAACTTGGTATTTAGGTGTTTAAGTATATTATGTTGACAAAGTTAAGAGACTGTGATTTGATGAGTCAATTGAGGTATGTTGATGTTCTAAAATTTTTAGACCTTTTGATACGTATTGCTATGAACTTGGTTAATCCATCGTGATGTTCTGCAGGTCTGGGCTGGTCCTTTGTCTGCAAATCGACTAGTTGTTGCTCTCTGGAATAGATGTTCAACAGGTGCAACTATAACCGCTAAATGGGAAGCAATTGGCCTGGAAACAGACACAATTGTCTCAATAAGAGATTTGTGGCAGGTGAACTAGCCTTTAGAACTGATTTAGAGAGAGCCTGATTAAATTTATAATCCATTGATAAGGGGCACCTTTTCTTTTTTACTTCTATTTACCATGATATGACCTACGTAAGTCAGTGGTTACATTATTGGTCTCAGCTTTTGTTTTTAAAATAATTCTAAGACTGGTTTGAGCTGCTTATAAGTTTGTCAAGGTTTTTACAGTAACTGATTGGTGTCAGCGGGTCCGTTCCCAATTATCCTTAAACAGCATCTTTTGTTGTACCAGGAGCATCTTCTGTTGTTTCTGGGTCTTTACCTTATTTCACTTATATCCTCTCTACTCTAACTCCAATTGGACTTGGCTGCACTCGAAGGCCTTGCCAAGCTGACATTTTATTGAGAATGGACCCAATTCCTTCGTTTTGGAAAAGAAAAAAACTTGTAGGGAAAAGAAATATTAATTATTGACCTGTAAAACAATATGGTGCTTGCATTAACTAACTTGATTCTATGATTTGCTTGCAGCACAAAAATGTTGCAGAAGATGCAGTGACATCATTTGGTGCTAGAGTTAATGCTCATGACTGTCATATGTATATTTTCACTCCCAAGATAGTGTCAAATTCTGTCATCTAGTCCCTTTTTATATGGGATTTAGTGTGACAGTCCTGAGGATGGTCCCAACATTTGTATATGGGCCCAACTTTGCAGCTTTGTAGACCAATTAAGGTGTCTCAAGCAGTGTTAGCAACCAAAGAACTGTCTGTAACTAAAGCTTGTAAATAAGATCCTTGCAATAAAATGTATGGCCGCACCACATTAAAAGTTGCCAGAAACAGATTTCACTTGAGATTTGGTTTGATTTTGTCAAATTATTGATTAAAAATGGCAGACATGAAAACAAAGGAAATTGATTAAGAGAAACATTCTTAAATCTGAATATCAGGTCTACTTTTTTGCCTTTTTAAATTTCCTTCAACTGAAAAAGATGAAGTAAAGCTAAATTGAGCTCAAAAGGGTTTGATTGACAGCCTCCTCTGTCATACCTATTTATAAGAGGATAATATCATGCTCAAGAGTTGAAAAGAACTACTTTGTATGTCAGTAGAAAGGCAAAACAAGGACAGAAGTAAACCAAGTCAATGAGGATCCACAAATGCCTTCTACGTGTTCTTCTCTGTGGCCTATGGGAGAGAAACTAAACAAGAACAAAGTTATTCTCAACATCTTATTACAAGAAGTAACCAACTATTGTCATTCAAGAAACATGAAAGTCAGCATCAGCGCAACTTTGCATCCTCAGAATAGCTCTAATTCTACTTGACAGCTCTTGTCACAGGACACCCTCTACATGCATAGAGG